GACATGAACTGTTGTATTGTGACCTGAATACATGCACACAAGTGACATGAACTGTTGTATTGTGACCTGAATACATGAACTCAAGTGACATGAACTGTTGTAATGTGACATGAATACATGAACTCAAGTGACATAAACTGTTGTAATGTGACATGAATACATGAACTCAAGTGACATGAACTGTTGTAATATGACCTGAATACATGAACACAAGTGACATGAACTGTTGTATTGTGACCTGAATACATGAACTCAAGTGACATGAACTGTTGTAATGTGACCTGAACACATGAACTCAAGTGACATGAACTGTTGTAATGTGACATGAATACATGAACTCAAGTGACCTGAACACATGAACTCAAGTGACATGAACTGTTGTATTGTGACCTGTAGCATGAACTGTTGTAATGTGACCTGAACACATGAACTCAAGTGACATGAACTGTTGTAATGTGACATGAATGCATGCACACAAGTGACATGAACTGTTGTATTGTGACCTGAATACATGAACTCAAGTGACATGAACTGTTGTAATGTGACATGAATACATGAACTCAAGTGACCTGAACACATGAACTCAAGTGACATGAACTGTTGTATTGTGACCTGTAGCATGAACTGTTGTAATGTGACCTGAACACATGAACTCAAGTGACATGAACTGTTGTAATGTGACATGAATACATGAACTCAAGTGACATGAACTGTTGTAATGTGACCTGAACACATGAACTCAAGTGACCTGAACACATGAACTCAAGTGACATGAACTGTTGTATTGTGACCTGTAGCATGAACTGTTGTAATGTGACCTGAACACATGAACTCAAGTGACATGAACTGTTGTAATGTGACATGAATACATGAACTCAAGTGACATGAACTGTTGTAATGTGACATGAATACATGAACTCAAGTGACCTGAACACATGAACTCAAGTGACATGAACTGTTGTATTGTGACCTGTAGCATGAACTGTTGTAATGTGACCTGAACACATGAACTCAAGTGACATGAACTGTTGTAATGTGACATGAATACATGAACTCAAGTGACATGAACTGTTGTAATGTGACATGAATACATGAACTCAAGTGACATAAACTGTTGTAATGTGACATGAATACATGAACTCAAGTGACATGAACTGTTGTAATGTGACTATTCTTTTTATTGTTTGACAAAATCACTATAAACATGACAGGGACTATGTCATTGACAATGACTTGTTTTGTTTTGTTGTAGCACTGTGTAATTATTGACTGATAAATATTGCATTACAATAAATATTTACATATAATAGTATCATTTATTCAAATGAAAAAATTGACAGTGTATCGATTTCTAGTAACCGTGATATAGTGCTGAATTAGCACTGGGGAAATATACACAATGCGAAGACTCACTGTGATGCTATTTTCAGATCCTAGTAGTTGCTGCAAGTGGTATTATTCGAACGCCAAAAAGTTGTTGTTGAAATCCATCCTTTTTGAGAACGGTAAAAAAAGAGCGATAACAACAAATTTTTGTTATCTCTTTGTTATTTTCAAATTTGTGAACAATGAAATACCTGAGTACCGGTTTATCGGCAATACTGTGGAATACTTTATTTTCGCTGGAATTAATTTTCGCTGAAAAGGCTTTTTGGGCGTTTTGCTTGGAATATATTTTCACTGATTTTTCATGAGTTTAATGTGAAATATAGGAAAAACAGTATATTCGCTGGATTTTATTTTCACGAAATCATCGCTTCAGCGAAAATAAATTCCAAGCAAAAATAAAGTATTCTACAGTAAGTATGTTCACGGTTAGTAACTGTGGTCTGTTGTCATTCATAACGATTGTTTTTGAGTTGAAAGTGTTTTTATTTGTCATACATACATACATGTATGTAGTTTAGAACCAAGTTCTGAATTTTGCATGCTGAGATATTTTTACAAAGTAACAACAGAGGTGCGTGAATCCACGGTTACCATTGGCTGGCGGTTCCCTCAAAAGTCAGTGTCACGGTAACCAGCTAGACAGCTGTTCATGTTCCTTCGTTGTATCTCCTTCCTGGTGCCACTGAGCAACGAATGAGATTAAGTTGAAGCAAGCCATTGTTTCCCTGTGTTGAGTACTGAGGTGCACATGCATGAGTTTTTGTTTAGCCAGTCAACAAGTATATTTCAACTTGATTTATTTTAACGCCGATATGTCCATTCTTATCTTAACGAAACTTAATACTACTGGTTCATAATTTGTACCAATCTCTTTTAACTTTATACAAGTTACAATTTTTATTTTGTTTACCCATAAACACACTCCCTTTATCGTGTCGTCGTCGTCAACTTTACAATTTCAACTTCTTTTTGAAACCGCAAGTCAGAATGTTTTCAAATTTGATATGCAAGTACCTTGGATGGTTCTTTCCCAGATTTGTTCATTTCATGATGATATCTTTAATTCTCTAATTTTGGTGAATATTTTTGGTAAAAAGTGATATTTTCGACTTCTTGTTAAAAACCGCAAGTCCAATTGCTTTGATATTACCGGTACATATATAGATACTATATGTGGACCTCTCTCAGATTTGTTCATTTTGTAATGATATCTTTAGTTCTCTAATTTTGGTGAATATTTTTGTCATTATTAGCTCCACTGTCGACGAAGTCGAGCGGAGCTTATAGTATTACTGATTGCCCGTTGTTGTCGCCATCGTCAACTTTACATTTTCGATTTCTTCCTAAAACCACAAACTGTATAGTTGTGAAACTTTCTAGGAAGGTACCTTGGGTGCTTCTCTCTCAGATTTGTTCATTTTGTGTGGATATGTTTAATTGTCTTATTTATAGCTAATATTTTTGTCATTTTTGGTCAAAAATGCTATTTTCTACCTCTTCTTGAAAACCGCTAGCCTGAATGCTTTGATACTTGGTATGTAGGTACCTTGGGTAGACCTCTCTCAGATTTGTTCATTTTGTAATGATATCTTTAATTCTCTAATTTTGGTGAATATTTTTGTCATTTTTGGTAAAAAGTTATTTTCTACTTCTCGTTAAAAACCGCAAGTCTGATTGCTTAGATATTACATGTGTAAGTACTACATGTGGACCTCTCTCAGATTTTTAGCTCCGCTGTCGAATTTGTCGAGCGGAGCTTATCATATGAGTGATTGTCTGTGTCAGTGTTTTACTTTTTCGACTTCTTCTTGAAAACTACAAGCCTGAATGCTTTGATACTTGGTGTATATGTACCTTGGGTAGACCTCTCTCCGATTTGTTCATTTTGTAATGATATCTTTAATTCTCTAATTTTGGTGAATATTTTTGTCATTTTTTGGTAAAAAGTGATATTTTCAACTTCTTGTTGAAAACCGCAAGTCCAATTGCTTTGATATTGCATATATAGGTACTACATGTGGACCTCTCTCAGATTTGTTCATTTTGTAATGATATCTTTAATTCTCTAATTTTGGTGAATATTTTTGTCATTTTTGGTAAAAGTGATATTTTCAACTTCTTGTTGAAAACCGCAAGTTCAATTGCTTTGATATTACATATATAGGTACTACATGTGGACCTCTTTCAGATTTGTTCATTTTGTAATGATATCTTCAATTCTCTAATTTTGGTGAATATTTTTGTAATTTTTGGTAAAAAGTGATATTTTCGACTTCGTCTGATTGTTTTGATACTGTACATATTGTTCATTTTCTAATGATATCTTCCGTTCGTTAATTGAAATGTGCATTGCTAACAGCGGATTTTTCTCAGCCGAGAGGCTGCTTGTTTTTTTTACAAACGTTCTTGTATATAAACAAAACAGAAATCAACATTTAAGTATTTTGCGACTAGGTATTTACATGGCAAATTACCCCATAGGAAAAGTGATTTACTTCGTGGTGAATCTTGTCTAAATTCTAGCCGTTGATCACAGGACATTCTTGTACCCTGGTGTACGCGTTCTTAAAAATGTGCCAGATAATGTTACATCTCGCAAAAGAAAACACTATTACGCTATTTTATTTGCATATAGTATATTTGCTATACATTTTGCCACTTGCAAACTACTCTTCACCCATTACATAGGTCTTGTTTTTCTACTCGCGTACGGCACATTTTGCTACTTGCTACTCGCATCTGGGTACTCGGATATGTACTACTAAATAACGCATCATGCTAACTCATTACCATTCCTGAATGTGTACAGTATTAACAGTCACCTTAAGAAACCTTCCACAAAATAGACTATTCCTTTCCACATCAAATGTAAAAATATTTTTATGGAAAACTAGAGAAAAAGAATGACAATTTTTCGATGTTTTGGCCAAAATTAAGATTGAATACACTGAAAATATGAACAAATTTACCCAAATTAATGCAAGAAAAAAAATTTGGTCTTAAAGGGTGAAGAATTACTAAACTTTTCTAGCCCTTATTGTGGCTGTTAATCTTGGGGAAAAGTAATTGTTGAATCTTGTCTTTATATTGTACGAGACTTGTATTGTACATCAACACTTTGTAGGGTTCATGCACCAAATCAGTGAAAATCCACACAATCTTGTAATACCTAAAATGTCTTTGGTGTCAATGACTTCAGGGAATTTTGTCTTCACAAAAACCATAAAATTCTCAAATAATAAAAATTCCTAGGTTGCGAAAACTAAACAACGGTACATACAACTACATGTGTAATCACCAATATATTATTGTGATAGCATCAAAATGTGTAAATAATTGAAGACACTGTCTAAGGGTTGTAATGAATGGACGTATAAACTGCTCTGACATTTAGCACTGTCTTATTTCTCTTCAAATATATAATTTATGGTTAAAAGATTGTCAACATCCCTACCGCTAGACTAGAAACAGTAAAGGAATTGATCATAACTGTTTTCTCCAGAGTAAACGCCCTGAAAGTCAGCATATTATTGCAACTGACGAAGTGAAATATCTTTGATGATGGGTTACACTCATTATCCCTAACAACAGTGATTTATATTAATTTCCAGCTTGCCCTTTATGTATTATCCTTCCTTGAACCAAGAGACCTCTTGCGAGCTGCACAGACTTGTCAGTACTGGAGGATACTGTGTGAAGATAATTTGTTATGGCGAGAGAAATGCAAAGAAGCTGGCATTGAAGAAGTTAATGGTAAACAAACACGAAGACGTTCAAACTCTGGAATGCCCCGGAGTCCATGGAAGAGTGCTTTCATGAGACAACATCAAATAGAGTACAATTGGAGGTTTGGTGATATTAAAACTGCAAAGGTATGTCTTTAGTGGTAATACACATGTCAGTGTACTTTTACACATGTAATGCTATACAGTTCTCAATAGTCAGTGTATCTTGACACTTATGAGGGAGCAGTGACACCTCTAATCTTGACATTTCTGAGGGAGCAGTGACACCTCTAATCTTGACATTTCTGTGAGATCAGTTACGATGTAATCTTGACATTTCTGTGAGATCAGTGACACCTGTAATATTGACATTTCTGTGAGATCAGTGACACCTGTAATATTGACATTTTTGTGAGATCAGTGACACCTCTAATCTTGACATTACTGTGAGATCAGTGAGACCTGTAATCTTGACATTTCTGTGAGATCAGTGACACCTCTAATCTTGACATTTCTGTGAGATCAGTGAGACCTGTAATCTTGACATTACTGTGAGATCAGTGACACCTCTAATCTTGACATTACTGTGAGATCAGTGAGACCTGTAATCTTGACATGTCTGTGAGATCAGTGACACCTTTAATCTTGACATTTCTGTGAGATCAGTGAGACCTGTAATCTTGACATTACTGTGAGATCAGTGAGACCTGTAATCTTGACATTTCTGTGAGATCAGTGACACCTCTAATCTTGACATTTCTGTGAGATCAGTGAGACCTGTAATCTTGACATTACTGTGAGATCAGTGACACCTCTAATCTTGACATTACTGTGAGATCAGTGAGACCTGTAATCTTGACATTACTGTGAGATCAGTGACACCTCTAATCTTGACATTACTGTGAGATCAGTGAGACCTGTAATCTTGACATGTCTGTGAGATCAGTGACACCTTTAATCTTGACATTTCTGTGAGATCAGTGAGACCTGTAATCTTGACATTACTGTGAGATCAGTGACACCTCTAATCTTGACATTTCTGTGAGATCAATGACACCTGTAATCTTGACGTTTTTGTGAGATCAGTGACACATGTAATCTTGACATTTCTGAGAGATCAGTGACACATGTAATCTTGACATTTCTGGATGATCAGTGACACATGTAATCTTGACATTTTTGGATGATCGGTGACACCTGTAATCTTAACATTTCTGTGAGATCAGTGACACATGTAATCTTGGCATTTTTGTGAGATTAGTGATACATGTAATCTTGACATTTCTGGATGTTTGGTAACATGTAATCTTGACATTTCTTGATTATTGGTGACATGTAATCTTGACATTTTTGTGAGATCAGCGACACATGTAATCTTGACATTTCTGGATGATCGGTGACATGTAATCTTGACATTTTTGTGAGATCAGTGACACCTGTAATCTTGACATTTCTGGATGATCGATGACATGTAATCTTGACATTTTTGTGAGATCAGTGACACGTAATCTTGACATTTCTGGATGATCAGTGACATGTAATCTTGACATTTTTGTGAGATCAGTGACACATGTAATCTTGACATTTCTGGATGATCGGTGATACATGTAATCTTGACATTTCTGGATGATCGGTGACATGTAATCTTGACATTTCTGGATGATCGGTGACATGTAATCTTGACATTTCTAGATTATCAGTGACACAAATAATATAACTGTGATCAATGACTTGTTTTAGAGCAATGTATTGTGATTGACATTGTCTATCATTGTATATGCTGGTTGTGTGTCATGTCATGATTTTCAGTGGCAGGAGATAGCATTATTAGGTTCGAAAAGTCACTATCGATGTTAATACTCTGAATAACATGATTACACAAAATCAGTTTAAGTCGGGAGTAAATTGAAGAGATTATTGCAGCAGGTGAGAGTAGTAGATGTGTCTTGAATTTCAATAAGCTATCAAACAAACTATATAGAATATTGCAATAACTTTAATATTCTTTGCACTGCTTCAAGTTTTGAAATTATTCATGTCTCATGTATTTTGATTAATTTGTTTTATAATTAGATAAGTTTTGAAAGCCTTTTGTGTTTCACTTTTAATGATTACATTTATACCCTGTAGGGATGTCTCAACAGATATCACGAGTATGATACATGTATTTCCATTTGCCATATTTACTCCGTTAGTGTGTGTGTGTGTGAATTGCAGAGCCTTGACAGTAGTCTTAGTAGCTTATAATAAAGGAAACTGTTGATTTATATGCGCTTTTATTTGAGATGCGCTTGTAGCGGATACAGCTGTTTAAAACATAACTTAACAGGGTTTGAAATCCATAAAAGGCATTTGTGTTAAATTCTCCACCTGACTTCCTTGGTGTCATTCAGAATAGGTGGCTATTTCCTCCATATTTCAATCAGTTTACCAAAAGCCATGAATTTTTTTTTCTGGACATTGAATGTCACCGTTGTCTCTCCTGACTTTTTTTTTTTTTGTATGTGCAAATTGCAAGTGCTAGTGCTGACACATAGTGCATTTTGCCACAGAAGTCATATTCATGTTTGGGACTACATGACAGGGCTGTGTGGCCATCTCTCTGTCAAATGGCAATTTTAATGCGCTATCCTGGCGTCAACCAGGCTCGGTCGAACACAAGCACCTGCGGCCCTTAACAAAGGTTCCCCCAAAGTCGCATTCGTTAGTGAATGAATCTCGGCCAGTGGAATTGGCCTTCCCATTGAGTCTGTGGCACACTCACCCAGGTTAGGGGTTGACCCTTTGATGTTTAGCCTAAGGTAGGATTTGAACTTGGGTCTACCGATCATGAGTCTGGAGCGACAACCACTATGCTACCAGTGACCGTAAAGCCATGAATTATATTTGTAGTCAAACTCATACCCATAAATTTGATTAAATTGACTTAATATTCTATTTAAAGAGAGATATGGAATGGAAAATAGTCGCCATCTCATCTGGAATTCATTGAAATAGGTCATTGGACACAAAATTAGTTTTCAGTGTTTCGAAACACAGGTGCACAATGCGGAAATAAGCTTTAATAATTGATGGAAATTGATTTAGTAATGATATTCTTGACTTTGTAGGTGCTAAAAGGTCATGATGACCATGTTATTACATGTCTACAGTTTTGCGGACAGCGAATAGTCAGTGGGTCAGATGATAATACACTCAAAGTATGGTCAGCTACAACGGGGAAGGTAAGTGTTTAAAAACTAATAGTGCAAATATTGCATAAATATCACCTATCTTTGTTGTGTTGAGAACAGAATTCATAAATTGTTTTTTTTTCTGGCCACTAGGGGGCGGCACATTGTAAGAACATAGTTGGAATATTAATTTAGACTTGAAAATATGCCAGAATGTAGAAGAAATGTATTTTTTAGAAGTCACTAAAATAAAATACATAGAGGATATCTCATAAACCACCATATCAAATTTAATAAATAAGTATAGTAATTACAGCACAACACAATTTTAATAAATTTGGTATACTGTAAAACGTTTTGAAATAGTTATATGCCATTTTAGCAAATTTGCCAGGTACGTATGCTATATAAAGTACCAAAAATTTCATTGGGAGAATATACTATATTTTAAATTAGTTACATATTCAAATTAGCGATAGTTAGGATGAGCTAAATTAGCTAAAATAACATGCTAGTTAAAAAGATGTATTTTATAGTACACATTTGTGAGCATGTATACACTGTTAGAGCATCCTGTCTTAACCGCATACCATATCACGTATACACTGTAGAGCATCCTGTCTCAACCGCATACCATATCACATATACACTGTAGAGCATCCTGTCTCAACCGCATACCATATCACGTATACACTGTAGAGCATCCTGTCTCAACCGCATATCACGTATACACTGTTAGAGCATCCTGTCTCAACCGCATACCATATCACGTATACACTGTAGAGCATCCTGTCTCAACCGCATACCATATCACGTATACACTGTAGAGCATCCTGTCGCAACCGCATACCATATCACGTATACACTGTAGAGCATCCTGTCTCAACCGCATACCATATCACGTATACACTGTAGAGCATCCTGTCTCAACCGCATACCATATCACGTATACACTGTAGAGCATCCTGTCTCAACCGCATACCATATCACGTATACACTGTAGAGCATCCTGTCTCAACCACATACCATATCACGTATACACTGTAGAGCATCCTGTCTCAACCGCATACCATATCACGTATACACTGTAGAGCATCCTGTCTCAACCGCATACCATATCACGTATACACTGTAGAGCATCCTGTCTCAACCGCATACCATATCAC